ATAAATTTTGACATGTGCATTTAAATTTTTTTAAATATTTACTTTATTTATGCATACAGAATGGGAGCAGAACAGGCTGACTGACAAGGTACACTGCTGAGGGGAGCACTGAGCAGGTCAGGGGAGGTCTGCCACACCATGTGGATCACCTTGGGGTGGGGCTAGAATTCATGCTGAAGTCACTTCAGCTTCTTAGTGTTGTGCTTTAACCTGCTGCACCACAAGGGAGGGCCCACATTTAGAATTTTTAAGATAACACATGAAATCATTCCCCATATCTGTTGATATTTACATTTTGGCATTGAAAGAATCTGAAAACTATCAATTATCTTAAAATTATAATTAAGATAAGAGGATGCTAAGAATGGCTGGTAGCATTAATTGAATGTTCTTAAAATTACTTTATCTTATAAAGTACTTTTCTTTTTTTCAGTCCATCCTTCCCCTGATGTCAGCATTATAGTCTGATTGTGGAACTCCCATAGTTAAAATGCCGTGGGCAACATGTTAGTCTTTCTTTTCTCCACTCAGGAAATTCCTATGAATATTTAAGTCAGAATTCAATTCCTTTGTGAAACTTTGCTTACAAGAAAATTCCCCTCTCTTTAGGGTACTAATGACATATAATATTCTTATTATTCTTTCCAATGGTTTAACTTCTAACCTCTGAAAATATGATCCCCTTTCTCTTTGGGGTAGATAAATTATTTAACCTTTTGATTTTAGAATATAATCTGTGGTTATCTGTAGCTTAAGTCTTTTCCTCTAAATTGCTTCTTAGAAAAAGCCACTACAACTTATTCATTACTTGCCTATTTCCAAATACATAATGTTTTGTTCAATAAATGAATGGAAAAGATGTACCATCATCCATCAAGTAATTATTTAGTCAAATGTAGAGTTACAGCTGTTTCCATATTCCTTTCTGCATTTTTGTAATGCAAATCAACAAAGACTTTAGTATAAATTAATCTCTATAATAAACAGTATAGTGGTTTGCTGCAATTTTATAGTAGAATATTTTTTCCAAGGAACCTGTTTGGAAGCTAAGAAACTGCCTGTTAAGTGTTGCTCTTCTTCCTGCAAAACAATACTTTTACATGAAGTGGGATGCCAAGTTCTGGTACCTTGTCAAGTTTTTATTTAATCTTCTGATATAATCCTTTGATACCAAGTCAGAATTGCTATTTTTAAATGACTACTTTCCTCAAACTGCCTTTTAATTCCCGGGATAATTCCTGCTTGTTATTAGCAGTTGAATAACTGCATCTGTGCATCAAAGGGGTCAAGAAAATAGCCATCTGCTAGGAATCACAGACCTTAGCCCCTATACCTTGATTTTTAACATCACCAACTTCTCTAATGGTCAGTACCAGCACACAGTGAGAACTCTGCTGGCACTTGGTGGTGGACATATTAGCATCTTTTGGCCCAGCTAGGCAAATTAAATTTCAAATTGCCTCTTGCTAAGAACAAACCAAAAAGAGGTGGTGAATTTCACACAGCACTAAGTTAATATGAGTATTAAAAATTCTCCAAACTAGAAAGAGAGCATAACATTTCACAAGAGTTTAAGCCATTGGGAAAAAATAGGCTATTCAAAGGAGAAAAATATTCAAATCTCTGAAGAACTCACTCTGGCAACTCAACAAGCACATACTGTTTGTTCTCAGAAAAGTCAGCTTTCTAATTTAGAAGAGCTGAAAGGTTCATTTCTGGAAACAGCTTGTCCTCAAGATTTTTAATAGTTCAGTTAAACTGAGAGTAGGAGTCATAGGATGAGTACAGTGAAAACTTTCCTACCTTTTCGGTGACCTTCTTTAATGCATGATAGGTACTATCCAATATGCAAATAAATCAAGTTTCTACTAAGTTCCCTGAATGAAGCTTAATAAGCAACACTATACTTTGAAAGTCCTTATAACCTCTTAAAATATGATTATATAAAAAAGAGATTACAATAAAATAGAAATATGTGGGCATAAAATAGTTAAGTACTTCTATTTACTATAGTGAGACTATTTCAATTGTGCATATTTAATATGTAAGTAGCTTAGACTATGTAAGAAGATTGTAAAGCATACAAGTTAAGATTGCAAACCTCACCTCTCATGGATACCTGGATTTAACTCAGCTCCTTAGCTTTCTTACCATCAAATTAAGCAACTTCTGCAAGCCTCAGTTTCTACACAGGTAAAATTTCAATAATGGCATTTGCTTTATAAGGTTATTATGGGTATTAAAATGAGATAGGAATAAGGGGCACTAAATAAATATCATATATATATGCTTAAAACATTGAGTGAAATACATTTTTAGCATCTGTTTAGGAAGAGAAGGCTTATTATAATTTGAATATTCTGTTTAGTTATCATGCTCAATGAATATTGAAGCTTATCCAGTTAACTTCATGAACAAGAAAAGTAAGCAGCATTATAATGTTTATTCTGATACTTTTGAAAGAAACATTTCATGAAATTTAGAGAAAATAATAGTTGACATTTAAATATCTTTAAAGTATAGAACAAGATACATCTTAATAAAACATTAAAATTACCAAGAAAAACCCAATTGGCCCTTTAAGAACTTTAGAAGTTATCCCATTAGAAATGTAAATTTTAGAGATAAAATTCATATAAAGGATTTTTACCTTTACAATTATTCTTTAAAAGTTTTGTCAGCTTTATTGAGATATAATTAAAATACTATATAATTCACTCATTGAAAGAATACAATTCAACAATTTTATTATGCTCCCTGAGGTGTATAACCATAACCACAAAGAAATCCTCATTCTCATTAATAGTCATTCCCTGTTTGCCCCCAACTTCAATGAGCCTGCTCTGTCTCTACAGATCTGCCTGGTCTGCACAATTGTTATAAACATGGTCTAAGTCTAAAATTTTTAAATTTAGTACAGAAAGACCTATATATAGTCTTTTGTGACTAGGTTTTTTCACTTAGCATAATATTTTCTAGGTTCATTCATGTTGTAACATAAATTAGTATTCATTCCTGTTGATTGTCAAAAATTAGTACATTGTTGGATAGAACATATTTTATTTACACCATTTTTATTTGATGGACATTTGGGTTTTTTTCTACTTTTGGTTACTACGAATAAAGCTAGCCTAAACATTTATGTGTGAATTTTCAGCAGACATATTTCACATTTATCTTGAATATACTCAAGAGTTAAACTATTGGTTCATAAAGTAACTCTAGGTTTAATATTTAAGGAACTGACAAATTGTTTTTCAAAGACTCCACCACTTAGCATTCCCAGGAACAATACATAGGATTTCAATCTCTCCACAATTTTGCCAGTAACATTTATTATTATTCTTATATATCAATCCTAGAGAATATGAAGGGGTACATATCACTGTGGTTTCATATGTATTTCCCTAGTGGTTAATTATGCTGAGTATCTTTTCAGGTATTTGACATTTCAGATTATTGGACATTTATGTATTTCTTTGTAGAATTGTCTATTCAGATCCTTTCTCAACTTTAAAACTAGATTATTCATCATTTGAGTTATGAGAGTATTTATATATTCTGGGTATAATTCATTTATCAAATATGTGACTTGCCAATATTTTTTGCCTTTAGTGTGAACTGTTATCTTCACATTTTGAACCTACTTTCTTATAGTTTAATCAGTTCAGAGATGGCAAAATGGTGCTTGTACTAGTATTCTAATTTTTATTTGAGGAAAATATAAGGATATAATAAATAATTTTACAAATTTTTGGCTATTCTTATATATCTAAACCAAGAGAAGAGTTCAGAAGTAAAGTGGAATTGAGAGCGTGTCTTTTCCATCAGTCTTAAAATATGGCAATGCACTGTGACTAATACTAATAAAATCAATCACTTGTTTATTGATTCCCTTATTACTTCATTAATTCATTCATAACTATATAAGGTGATGGGGAAATAAAGATAATTTATAGTTCTTTCAGATACCTTGTAATTTAAATGTTAAAATAAGGCATGTATAATCACACATGAAATCTTAGAAAGTGATTAACTATGATTTCCAAGATACCATTAAGTCCTTGGCATACAGAAACACTAAGATGAACTCTTACCCTAAATGGCTCTGAGTCTAACATGGGCTAAAATACCATGTTTCACATGTTGCATGTAAACACACAAATAAAATGTCATTCATGAAGTAATAATGTATTAAATAGATATGATCAATGCAAGCTTTACAAAGAAGAAAAAAATTCCAAGACAAACAAATAGAAACACTGATTTTGCTAAATAAAATCATCAATGTGAATGGCACCCAAAAAAAGTTTCCAAAACAATCTGTAAACTTTGAACGTGGCAGATTGAGAGGAAATAAGTAAATGAAAATAATTGGAATTTTTACCATATATTCCTCTCTATTAGTTATACAAAGGTCCTATTTTTAAAATATACTTCAATCAGTTTTAAAAGTCCTCTGTGTCAACACTTTCCCACCTTTCTCCTTGCCTCACTACCTTGAGAGAGAATTCAGAATAAAACTAGATTTTGCAATTCTTCTCTGGATCCAGAGATTGCAGGCTTTCTTCGAGGCATCAGTGACAGACTATCAAGGCTATCAAGACAAACTTAAAATACCTCTTTTTGACTTTGAAAATAAAATGGAAGTCAGTGAAGACATGCTTCTCCCAAACCACAACCACCTACCACACTGGTTCTTACATGCATCTTGCATAGAATATACCATTCCTCCACTCCGCCATCAAAACCCTTACCCCTGCTTTTTCTTGAAGGAAGTTCTGGAAAATAGATGACGGATAGATATTTTCATTTTATTCTTTTTACTACGTTAGCATATTATTTGTACATCCTACTATAGTATTTCTCTACATTTAATACCAATAGCTATTGAACTTGGTAATAGAAAAGCAATTGAGTCAAACATGTATTCCATTTTTTTTTTTCTTTGAACAAGTCTTTCCTAATTAGTGATATCATTCTTGTAAAGCAATTCTTACCTGGAGGTCAAAAGCCCAAGTGCTTCCAAAGGGTGAGAGAATTTCCATCTTTTCAAAATGGTGTGCATTTCCAAAATTGTTCTTTCATCCCATCCTGGGGCACTACCCAGGATCAAAGGAAGGGAACAGTTCTCATCATTACAGTAGAAACGATAATACCACAAGTATCTTCTCTTTTCCTCAGAGAGTCTGTAAAACCAGATTGGAAACTAATTTACTGGAGTTCACTGAACTAACCACTTTGCTGTAAACACACATTCTAAAACCTTACCTAATTATATTTTAGTTTGTTTTAGAAAACAAGTCCTTTTTCTTCTTGGGATAGTGTGATAGGTTATTTCTTTAGTGCATTTACAACTCACTTTACTCTTGCAGAAAATAAAAAACAAACGTACTGGTCAGATAATTTCTTGGTCTCTTCCTCATTCTTTCCATTTTTAGAAAATGTCATTTTGGTTAGCAAAATCTCGGTTTTCCTTAGGGTTAGGCCAAGTTTATTTAAAACCTGCAAACTGTAATACTTAGAACAAAGGTAATCAACTAATTTTTATCTTCTTTACAAATTAACTTAAATCCAATAGAACTTTTTATAAAAATGACATATTTAAAGATAGTATTTCTCATCTTAAAACAATTTCATCATAGTCCAGGAAGTTCACTGCAAATTGCAGAAAGAAAGATTTAATTTCATCCCTGAATTCTCCTTTCATATTCTTAGAGTTTGCTGGGAATTTAGTGTTTAAATGCCATTGAATTTTAACTTAAATGCTAAGTATTTCCCCCTGGAAAATGGTCTCAAATAGAAGGTCTCAATCTAGGAGTGGGGCTATTGACTCTCACAGTTTGTAGTGTTTTGTTCACATTCTAGCAGAAACATTCAGATACTACATTTGATCTTAGCCAAAAGGCCATGGAGCTATTGCACAGAAGCTTTCAGAACCACAGTTCAACTGGAGGACAGCATTTTTCACATGACAATGACAGCTTTTGAATTTTGTCTCCTTCAAACTGACAATCTTTTGCTCAGTTTAGATTAACTAAAATTCCCAAGAAGGGTGATGAGAATGTATTTTAAAGGTGAGTATTTCCTCACATTTTTTTTGTTTTTAAACCACCTTCTTCAAAATAAAAGCATTGGATAATAGGTGATGTTTTATGTATGTTGTATGTTTTATGTACGTTGTATGTTTTATGTATGAAATTTTCTTTTGTCACTACCTTTCCCACCAGAAATCACTTTGAAAAAAATTTCCATAACAAAACTACTAAAATAGATTATTTTATTGTGATTAAGTTATTTTTCCCAATATTGAACATTACTTATATTTCCCCCTTTACCATCTCTTAGTGAAGGTAATTTACATAAAAGGGCATGCCCAGCTTCAGTTCAGTAAATAAATACCCACAAATACACATAGCGGTTAAAGTCAATCTTAGCAAGATGTTTTATATCTTTATACCACTAGATGCAAGCACTGGTATAATTTATCTTCAGATTAATATTGCTTATTTTTGAACTTCAATAAATGAATTATTGATTAAATATCCTTTTAATTATGGCCTTTTAAAATTTTATAACAGTTTATTTTTACATCATTTTGTACATTTTTTTTTCCATCTCAATTGTAATCCCCGCGGGTTTCCCATAACTAAGTCACCCTTGCGCCATCACCATAATCCCGTGCACTTCTCTCCCCACCCCCCCGTTTTTGATCCCATTCCCCACTCCACCCCTGCAAAATGTGTCTGATATATGGTTGTTCATTATTTTTGTTATTTTCTCGCCTGGTCCATTATACTCCTGCTATGAGTGAAACCATCCGGTATTTTTCTTTCTCTT